CACCCTGGACCCCCACCAATTCGCATACCGCCAGAACAGGAGCACAGAGGATGCAGTCTCCATCGCACTGCACTCTGTCCTCTCACACCTGGACAACAACAACACCTACGCCAGAATGCTGTTTATAGACTTCAGTTCAGCATTCAATACAATCCACCCCTCACAACTCATCAGGAAACTGACAGACCTGGGCATCAGTTCCCTCATCTGCAAATGGTTACTGGACTTCCTGACCAACCGCCCCCAACATGTCCGGCTGGATAACCGCTGCTCATCTACAATCACAATGAACACCGGTGTACCACAAGGCTGTGTGATGAGCCCTTTCCTCTACTCCCTCTTCACCCACGACTGCAGACCTGCTGATGGTTCCAACACCATCATTAAGTTTGCAGATGACACCACGGTGATTGGCCTCATCAGTGACAACGATGAGGCCGCCTACAGGGAGGAGGTGGATCGTCTGGCTGAGTGGTGCGACACAAACAACCTGCTGCTTAACACCGAGAAGACCAAGGAGCTCATCGTGGACTACAGGAGGAATGCTGACCCACATCCACCCATCCACATTAAGGGGACGGCTGTGGAGCGTGTGAGCAGCTTCAAGTTCCTGGGAGTCCACATCTCCGAGGATCTCACCTGGACGACCAACTGCTCCAAGCTGGTCAAGAAGGCTCACCAGCGCCTCTTCTTCTTGAGGACTCTGAGGAAGAACCACCTGTCCTCAGACATCCTGGTGAACTTCTATCGCTGCACCATCGAGAGCATCCTGACCAACTGTATAACAGTCTGGTACGGGAACTGCTCTGCCTCGGACCGGAAGGCGTTGCAGAGGGTCGTGAAAACTGCCCAGCGCATCGCCGGAGCACCACTTCCTGCCATAAAAGACATCTACAGGAAGCGGTGTCTGAAAAGGGCTGGGAAAATCATCAAAGACCCCAGTCACCCATCACATGGACTCTTCACCCTCCTGCCCTCTGGGAGGCGCTACAGGAGCCTCCGGACTAAGACCACCAGGTACCGGAACAGCTTCTTCCCCACAGCTGTCAGACTCCTGAACTCTGCCTCCTGACATCTGACCCACGTTAAACATGGACTGAACATACACCCACACACCACACACACACACAATGGACAACTGTACCCTCAAACACACAATAATAACATGGACTGAACCACCACTCACAACCACTAGCACTTTATATAGCCTCTGTAGGAATTATCACACCTCACTTATCTTAACTGCACTACTGTATAGCTCTGTGTAAATAATCATTCTGTACATTCGATAATTTTTAACCTACAACTGTTTACAACTTGCATAGTTCCCATTTCTGTATAGCTGTATATCTCAGATTTCTGTAAAGTTATTTATTTCATATTCTGTATAGTTTTTCATATTTATATCCTGTTCATATCCTGTACATAGCTTGTACTCACTACAGCCTGTACATACTTATAGTTATAGAATATTCACAACATACTTCATACCGTGTACATTATAACATACCATAATAGACCCATTTCTGTAATATACTCACATATCTATATTATTGCTAATATATATTGTAATATATCTATATCACTAAAGCACTTCTGGATGGATGCAAACTGCATTTCGTTGCCCTGTACCTGTGCATGTGCAATGACAATAAAGTTGAATTCTATTCTATTCTATCTATTAGCATAGTTGTATATAATATCAGTCATCAGTGCCATTCATTTCATAATGGCACAGATTTTGTAATTTATTGTTCCATTAGCTTTGAGGGATCACCTGATGAAGGCAACCGAACCACATCTGCAAAAAGCAAATGAGGTGACCTCCAAATCTGAGTCCATGTTATTCAGAAGGAAATGGGTGGTGTGCCCACTCTGGGTCAGGGACGAGTTCCTGCCCCAAGTGGAGGAGTTCAAGTATCTCAGGGTCTTGTTCACAAGTGAAGGAGGACGGGAGACCAACAGATGGATTGGTGCTGCAGCTGCAGTGATGTGGACGCTACACCGGTCCGTTGTGGTGAAGAGAGAGCTGAGTTTAAAAGTGAAGCTCTCAATTTACTGGTTGATCTACGTCATGACCTGTGCGTAGTGACTGAAATAACGAGATCGTGGAAATGAGCTTCCTCTGAAGGGTGGCTGGTTTCTCCCTTAGAGATAGGGTGAGGAGTTCGGCCATCCAGGAGGGCTCAGAGTAGAGCCGCTGCTCCTCCACATCGAAAAGGAGCCAGTTGAGGTGGTTCGGGCATCTGACAAGGATGCCCCCTGGGCGCCTCCTGGGTGAGGTGTTCCAGGCATGTCCCACCGGGAGGAGGCCCCGGGGCAGACCCAGGACACGCTGGAGAGATTATATCTAAGTTAGAGGATTATTCCACATGCAACAAAGGTCTCTCAACACGTAGCAAGACGAACTAGGATCCTCCGTTGGGTGCAATGCGCGCGATAGTGACACCCCCGCTGGAAGTATGAAATGGCGATTAAGTCTATCCCTTGACCTCAGAAACTGGCAAAACAGCAAATTCGTGCATGGTGTCCCGCTACATCATGCTGGATATAAAATTTAGAGTAACAGTAATGACCAAGAGGCTGGTCGCAACCTGGGAGATGGAGGGTCCCCATAATTTCGAGTCTGCTTCGTATCACGGCGATACCACTATTCTGTGTAAGAGTCGTGACAGAGTTATCTGGATCCACTATGGAAGTTAGGAGTTGAACCTTGTTGTGTTTTACCATCATCCATCTGCCATTGTCACTACTATATATAGAAATGACGCATTTTGATCCTCTCGCAATATAGGTCCCATACCCGCGCATATCTCGAGGCCCGACCCATCGATCTTTCGAACTCCAACTTCAATTCAAGATGCATTTACAAGAATTTTAGATTGGAAGTCGTCGTGCTCCAATCACATGTGTCGCTTCAAGACATTATGGTGAGAATCTCAGAGTGTTGTCGAGCGACTTCCAACTACTCATCACTTAAACATCCATCTATTTATACTTTATATCATATACTGAGATGAAATGGAGGATAGCGTCGACTACTAAGGCTAAGAAAACTTCTATCCAATCAATAGGATTAGCTATCCACTTAATCGTGATCTCTAACTAATATCTCTAGACGTATTCTATTGTTAAAATCACATAATCAGTAGCGCCAACTGCAGTCTTCAGAAAGAAGAAGCTCTCTCATGCTACGAGAATTAACAGTAGAGCGACTAAAACACACGAGTGAGAAAAAACAAAAATATACGGAAAGGTATGTTATGTCACTTCGAGCCTGGCTATTATATAGACGAACCAATATTATTCAACTGCAGATAGCATGCAACACATATGCCATCTATATATAGAAATACGCGATATCACCTCGAACTATTCATCAGACACTGCCTCATGGTAACCGTTCCTGACAGTTTCAGTTCCTTCTGCAGATTATTCCAGGAAACTTAATTTGAATTTATGGACAGAAGTCATTAGTAGGTTCCTATTTTTACAGTTTTTTTGTTTAAATACTTCTAATGCTTTAATTTGTATTAGTTAATTTTTTTAAATTTCATTTTTATTCTGACAGTCCTGTTGAGTAATGATAAAGATTTGATTATTTTCAAATTCGTAAGTTTCCTGGGTCGATCTATCTATCTTAACACATTAATTTGGCTTGCACTACGTTGCCAGTGATCTAGCTGCGTAAAAGGATCACCTGATGAAGGCAACCGAACCACATCTGCAAAAAGCAAATGAGGTGACCTCCAAATCTGAGTCCATGTTATTCAGAAGGAAATGGGTGGTGTGCCCACTCTGGGTCAGGGACGAGTTCCTGCCCCAAGTGGAGGAGTTCAAGTATCTCAGGGTCTTGTTCACAAGTGAAGGAGGACGGGAGACCAACAGATGGATTGGTGCTGCAGCTGCAGTGATGTGGACGCTACACCGGTCCGTTGTGGTGAAGAGAGAGCTGAGTTTAAAAGTGAAGCTCTCAATTTACTGGTTGATCTACGTCATGACCTGTGGGTAGTGACTGAAATAACGAGATCGTGGAAATGAGCTTCCTCTGAAGGGTGGCTGGTTTCTCCCTTAGAGATAGGGTGAGGAGTTCGGCCATCCAGGAGGAGCTCAGAGTAGAGTCGCTGCTCCTCCACATCAAAAGGAGCCTGTTGAGGTGGTTCGGGCATCTGACAAGGATGGCTCCTGGTCGCCTCCTGGGTGAGGTGTTCCAGGCAAGTCCCACCGGGACGGGGCCCCGGGGCAGACCCAGGACACGCTGGAGAGATTATATCTCTCGGCTCGCCTGGGAACGCCTTGGTGTTCCCCTGGATAAGCTGGAGGAGGTGGCTGGGGAGAGGGTTATATCATCTGCAGCGAGAGAGAGAGTTGAAACCTTGTTTTTCCACTTAACAGTCACATGAAGATTTACCTTCCAAGGCCTCCCCCCAGAGGCCCCCTCACTCCCAAAGGTCAGAGAGGGGTCTCTTCCTCTCCAGTGTCTAATGGTGCCTGGGTGTGCCAGTCCACATCTAACTTACAATAACTGTGTGTGTAAAGCATAAAACACAAATATGATGCTATCCTTTCTATCTCTAACTAATATCTCTATACGTATTCTATTGTAAAACACATAATCAATACACTACGGTAAAAGAAATTTCCATCAGAGTACCAACGTGAAAAAAATATACAATAGCAGATCATTAAGAGCGACAATACAAACAGTCACACTGCCTCATGGTAACCGTTCCTGACAGTTTCAGTTCCTTCTGCAGATTATTCCAGGAAACTTAATTTGAATTTATGGACAGAAGTCATTAGTAGGTTCCTATTTTTACAGTTTTTTTGTTTAAATACTTCTAATGCTTTAATTTGTATTAGTTAATTTTTTTAAATTTCATTTTTATTCTGACAGTCCTGTTGAGTAATGAAAAAGATTTGATTATTTTCAAATTCGTAAGTTTCCTGGGTCGATCTATCTATCTTAACACATTAATTTGCTGGACTACTTTGCCAGTGTTCTAGGTTGTAAAAAAAAAAAAAAAGATAAGTAATGGGTTAGGGCTAGATGGTTAGTGGTTTGTCTTAATGTGGAATCATTTTTTTGTTTTTCAGGTTCATATGTGCAGAGCCAAAGTTTCCACCAGGTCATGTGTCTACTACAACAACGTTGAAGGTAATGGTCTAACAGAGTGACTGTATCCGTGTAGCAGAACGCAGTCTGGAAAAGCATGTCCTGTTACCTTTTTATGTTTTACTGACTACATGTATAATTTAAATATTATATTATTTGACACTAATAACTCTCAAAGTATGGCACAACCTGTGAGGAAGCACTACTGTGAGAAAGTTTGGAGTCCAGGAATGTCCAAAATGTGCATATCAACAAAATATCTACTGCCTGCTTTCAGTTGATTTAAAAAGGGGGGAAAAACTGTTATGTTGAGAATCTAGTCCATGCATTTGTTACTTTGATGACAGACTATTATAATTATTTATTATCGCGCTGTGTCAGCTGTTTTTCTTGCTGTGGCGCGATATGGCAGCCTCGCTTCTGTCAGTCTGCCCCAGGGCAGCTGTGGCTACAACCGTAGCTGCTTCCACCAGTGTGTGAATGCGCAAATGAATGAAGAGTGGCATTGTAAAGCGCTTTGGGTGCCTTGAAAAGCGCTATATAAATCCAATCCATTATTATTATTATTATTTAATTTCCAGCTGCACCACAGGATACTTATGAAAATCCCCATTCACACACCTGATCTCCACCCACTCTGCCTCCAACAATGCCCCCGTCCAAACCAGGTTTTGATGGGCCAAGCTCTGCCGCGCAGCGTAGTTTGGAATCTACCCCTCTGGTACCCTACAGGAACGCTGTATGGCCCTCCAGAAATCGGGGACACAGAACACATGGCCCATCTCAATTAACAGACACTCGGAGGTTGTGCAACTGCAGCACTCCTGCCCCGACATCTGAGTGACCCATGGTAAATCGGGTGCAGTCGCCACCGGAATCATGGGGAGAGAGAGGGAGATGAAAGAAAAGGGTCAGTAGGTCACCACAGCGGTCCCTCAGTGACTGGAAGTGATAGGACGGAGCCAGGAAGCTTCCCCATTGGGGCCACAGGGGGTGTAACTGAAATACAGACGATTCAGTTTGCATTTCTGTGTTTACAGTGATTAGTCTGTACCCGTTTTAACATCCACAATTGTGGTTCCAGTCGTTATGTTGCCAAGCTTGGCGTCACGTCTTGTTCCTCCTCTCTTCCCAGGTCTTGGTGCAATATTAAAATACACAATGAATGTTTGGAGGTTTTAATGTGAGCTGTGTTTGCTAGCTTCACCTGGTAATGCCACCAACTGATTGAGTGTCGGAGCTCAAAAGTAAACATAGAGCATCTACAAATACATCAGGATGATGTCTCCATGTGTGCGTCAGGCACCTGAAAACACATGGTGGCTCCTCACCACCATGTGTTTTCTGTTTTCTCCTCTCTTTTTGTCTTTCGATGGGCGATCGTGGCTCAAGAGTTGGGAGTTCGCCTTGTAATCGGAAGGTTGCCGGTTCGAGCCCCGGCTCGGACAGTCTCGGTCGTTGTGTCCTTGGGCAAGACACTTCACCCGTTGCCTACTGGTGGTGGTCAGAGGGCCCGGTGGCGCCAGTGTCCGGCAGCCTCGCCTCTGTCAGTGCGCCCCAGGGTGGCTGTGGCTACAATGTAGCTTGCCATCACCAGTGTGTGAATGTGTGTGTGAATGGGTGGATGACTGGATATGTAAAGCGCTTTGGGGTCCTTAGGGACTAGTAAAGCGCTATATAAATACAGGCCATTTACCATTTCCCGTGATCCCCCAACCTGTCATGGCAGATTTCCCTTTCTGAGCTTGATTCTGCTGAAGGTTTCTTCACTTGATTTTGTTTTATTATTGTGATTTTTCTCCTAAATATTGTAGGGCTTTACCTCGTAGAATGACGCACCTTGATGTGACTGTTTTTGTTGGTTCTATATAAATAAACATGAAGTGAACCAGCTCCTGTTTTGAGTTCAGGCCACAGACTGGTGTGTGTCCCCTCCTGAACTCTACATGTTTTTAATTTAGGCTTCAAACTTTAATTTTGGATAAAGCTTGTAGTAGGGCTGCTCAATTAATCGAATTTTAATCACGATTACGATCTGGGCTTTCAACGATCATTAAAAATGACTGAGCCGATTATTAGCCCCTCCCTCATTTATCCGCGACACCTTAAAGGCCGGTCCTGAAAATATTGTCGGGCATAAACCGGTCCGTGGCGCAAAAAAGGTTGGAGACCGCTGATTAAGAGGACCCGAGGGAAGCTCGGAAAGCTAAGCAGAAGTTATTTGTTGAAAAGAGAGTTTAAAAAAAAAAAACTTCAGTGGTGTTGCACACTATTTTATATTATTTTTTTAAAGTCATTGTTAACCCTTTAAAGCCGGTCAGAGCAGCACGCTCCGTTTTGCGTAACTATTTTTAAATCCCTGTAGAACCTGAACCGTGTAAGCTAGCGCAATAATTTGTTTTGCATATGAAACCGGAGGAGTTGTACTTACATCTTATGCCATCAGCTTGTCCTCGGTCACGGTTTCGTTCCACATATAGCTTTGCAAAAATTGCATAAAAAGCGCTTGCAGGAACAAAAACATAATATTCCAGAAACACGCTTTGCCGTTCCTATCAGCTGTTCGTAACACTTCCCACAGTGAAATGATGCACATGCTGTTTTCTTTGCAAATTTGCATCATAGGATTGTTTTTTGTTTTTCCTGCAGTATATAAAAATTGCTGTATCTCCAAAATAAAACTATGAAGACACTCAAAATAAATTTCCTGTGGTGGGAAACTATTTTTTGCAACTTTATTGTATTTAAAGTTTTGAGGGATAAACCTCTTAAATTTCTCCAAGTAGAAATATATGTAAACAAAACAAAAGCGATTTTCAATTTTTTTGTAGTTTATTGCACTTTTTTGCAATTTATGTAATTACTATGACTTAATGCATACATATTATTAAAATATGGGCTATAACAGTTGTATTGATGTATAGCAACTTGAAATGCTCCCACAAATGGCACTACAGCATGTAAAAATAAAAAAAATAATATAAGCTCTGGTGGACTTGGTTCTATAGTAGGTCTTAAAGGGTTAAATAAATATCGTCAAATAATCGTGATCTCAATTTCAGTGAAAATAATCGTGATTATCATTTTTGCCATAATCGAGCAGCCCTAGCTTGTAGTAGGTATGGAGTTAGTTATGCTGCTAGTTATAATGACACTCATACATTCTGAATGTTTTAGCATTGTAATAGTATGTATAATTAATTACACTTTATATTTTGATTACACTCTAGCCTTCTGTACATGGTATTTGATTTATTATAGTCCTTCTAGGAAAAAATCTGTTTGAGTCTGAAGGTTTAGGACCTGCCTGACCTGAGGCATCGTCTGGAGGGCAATGGGTCAAACAGGTGGTGGGTGGGATGAATGGGGTCATCTGTGATGGCCCTGGTTTTAATCACATGTTTCAGTGATTTAGTATCCTATAAATACCAGATCTCAAGCTTGATTTTTCTTCTTCTTCTAGATAAGAGCACTGACAGAGATTTGGTTAATTCTATCCTCGATGTGGAAGATTTGGTCCAATTTGGCACCAAACAGAGGTTTGTAGTTCATGTGTTCATTTTTTTGTAGTTGTCTGTTTCAGTCTCTGTACTGCACTTTCTTTCTTTGGTAAGAAATAATCATTGGTAACATTGGCGGCTGGGTGTCTCTGTGTGACACCAAACTAATGTCTTAATATTTGATTTTTCTGCTTCAATCTGATTCAATCTGTGGAATCATTTAAAAAGTAGTTAAAACTTTTCTGTTTAAACAAGCCTGCTGTTGATCAACATTCTTTTTAAAAATACATTTTTATTTACATGTAACCTTTTGTATTGTCTATATTGGTATGTTTATTTTAACTTTGGTGTACAACGCTTTGTGACTGCACTCTCTCCAGTGTGAAACCTCCATTGCGATCCATCTGTCAGTAATCTACAGATGGTCACAATTTAGAAAGCTGAAGTCTTGATCAGAACAGTGAAGTGATCCAATAAATATGTGACCAAATATGGGCATTTCATTCGAGTGGGTGAGTCTGCTTATCCACTTAAAGTGGGGATATTAAACATGCAGTAAGAACTAGACTTCCAAAGGGTCCACTGTAGCATCACCTCTGCAAATTAGGAAAATTGCAGATTTATTAATATTTCAAATTCTTGTATAAAAAAAAAAAAAACAAACAACACACAAAAAATTTCGATACTCTTGTTTAGTTACAAAATACTCGTGAGTGGTTGGGGGGAAAACTGAAGTGTACAGTTAGCTTCATAAGCATTTAGACAGTTATTAAATGTGCCATACGGTAGATTCTCACAGTCAACAATAAAAATGTGATTTAAGTGTACACTTGCAAAGTGAGTGGGGTTTAACAGACATTAAGTCTTAATTGTTTCAGAATTGCAGCCATTTTTAATGCATCGTCCTCTATTTTTAGCAGTTTAAAGTAGTCTGATGACTGACTGATAGACAGTTTCATGGCCAGGTGAGGACTGTTCTCTCATTCCATCACATATTAATCAGATAACAGATCTAGGGTTGATTCCAAGTGCTGAATTTGCATTTTGTAGCAGTTCAGTAGAACTTTCAATATGAGGTCCAAAGTCATATCGAAGTGAAGGAGAACATTATTATGCTGAAAAACCCAAATTACTCTAAAATAGGAGTGGTCAAATCAACAATCTACAAGTGCCTGAGTGTGAAATAATAATAAATAATAAATATGATTTATGAAATAATAAATTGGCCACTAGAGGATATGTGGGCCACTGATATCAGGACATGAAAACTCCTCACGATGTATAGAGATCTCCATCAGACGCCCAGCACCACAGGCAACAGAAAGAGGCGAAGTTACAATGCAGGATGAAACACTGAGCATCCATGAATTCATTAGCAAGATGGGCCACCCGAGGTGAGTTGCTCCAAGTATGCCAAAGACATGATCAGGAACCATCATGGACAATCCCTGCAGTGGACGTACTATCAACATATCAAAATGTTAGCTAGAAAAGGCCAGGTTAAAGGACAGCAGAGTCCTTAACGGACAGGACCCAAGTTGCAGACTGTGCAAAGGTTCCCCGGAGACTATCCAGCGCATAGTAGCGGGATGTAAGATGCAAACTAGGGCAGGCTACACTGAGAAGGACGATCAAGTGAGTGGGATACAGGAACATCTGTGCTGCATGTGTACTAGAAGTCCCCAGGTCCTGATGGAAGACAACACCAAAGGTGGTTGAGAAAAATTGGGCCTGTGTCCTGTGGGTCTTTCAAGTAACAGAAAACCGCAGCTGTGATAGAGGGGACAGCAACATCAGGAAGGAGCACAAGAAAATAGAAAAGTGCTAAAATAGAAAATGGAGAAGGGCTAAAGTAACAACTGGAGCAGATTTGAAATGAATGAAAGGGCCTTATCACAAATGAGCCATTATCATTTGAAGGATGCTTTTTGACTTTCTTTCAGTAGTTGTCCTGAAACTTCACTACCAAGAAACAGTACCAGAAGCATGATGTTTTCTTTCATTTTAATGTCTTTTTAACCCTTCACATTCTCTGAGTCAAAATGCAACAGTCATCTGAGCAATAAATCTTAAAAGCCTTAACAACCACCTCCCCTAACAGTGCAGCAACTCGTCCAAGAACCACTGAAACTCAGTAACTGCTGGGCTACGTGGTCACAGGCTAGTGGATGGAAACTATACCTTTTGTACTATGTTATCTCTTTAAACAGCTATCAGAATGAGTCAGTTTTTCTGTAAAGTTCACGTATTTGATTTCGCATTTGCAAATTTTTCCACAGAGTCTGTCCTTACTACCTCTCCCGTTCACTGAAACAACAAGCAGATGTCATTTTTATGCCATACAACTACTTGCTAGATCCAAAGGTAAGCTCTGTCATACACATTACATCTGAGGCTGACATATGTGACCATAAATGAGCATCAACAGAGACTTTAGTGTTGTGATTGGCACTGTCATTTCTAATCTCTATGAATGCTAATATTCAACTGCCTCTCCCTCCCTCTTTCATTCCACAGAGCCGCAAGGCACACAATATCGACCTGAATGGAGCTGTGGTTATCTTTGACGAAGCTCACAATGTGGTAAGGTTATATCTGGTTTCCCCTGTTAAATGTATTCACTAAAAATTGGCATTGTTGTATATAAAAGCTTCAAAGACCACAAGTGACCCACTACTAAACGGGGATGGTCTACACTAGAGGGTTTCAAATTCATTTTAACTTGCAGGCCACATCGGGCCTAATTTGAAATCAGAGGGGCTGGTCTACTCAAACCATAAGGACATATTAAAACCAATGTTTCCTTTGAAAACCAGATATTGAACTAATATCTTCAGAAAATGTATGATTTTTACTACATCCCATGTCATTACTGTGCATTATAATTTATAGATCGCAGTAGATCTCGAATTTTGCAAATGAACAAGTATTTTCTTCTATGACCTGAAAAACCTGTCAAAGCATATATTCTCCTGTATCATCATGCCATGTATATAACTTGGAGATTTCACAGTGTAATCTTCACATTCTGTCACCAAAGCACACTCTCTTTTGATTCACCCACTAATTATACTCACAGTATTCATTCACTGTATCTTTAGGAATTTGCTCACTTCGATTGTAGCCGACTCTCTAGCAGCACGGCCTCTTCACCTGTCCCTCCTCCACATTCCTGCTCAGTATGTCAGAGCTTTAGTTACTCCTCAGCCCTCTTTAGTAATAACGATACTTGTAATAAATGTAGCCTGTTTACAGCTCTGGAGTCCCGGGTTCACCTGTATCTAGCCAGGCCCATGTAGCAGGTGCAGCCAAAGCTAGCATAGCCACCGTTAGCTTTCACCCAGCAGATTGTCCCAAGCAGCCGGGAAAACGGGACAGCTGGGTGACAGTCAGCAGGAAGCATAGTCCTAAACAGAGGCCCCGGTACACCACCACACCTGTCTATGTCTCTAGTTGTTTTTCCCAATTTGGTGACACGTCCTCTGAGGAGCAAACTCTAGTAATTGGCTAATCTGTTTCGACACATGTGAAGCTCGAGACATTTTCTTATTACATTTAAATTTACAGTTAATGCACAATGCAAGGTGCTGCATATTTAAGGCATGATTCATCATTGAAGAATGTGATAAATATGTGACCATGAACTCAGGGTCAAGGTCAGAGGTCACGCTTTCTGAAAATCCTACTTACCCTGATGCTGAGGTGTAGCACTGGTGCCTGCCAATCTTATAATATTTTTTTGGTCAATCATTTCAGCGGTAGAGAGCTAAACAACATATTTGGGATTTTTGCAAAGCAACAATCTAAGCATATGTCATTCTTGATTAAAGCTAATTTGTTATGATTATTAATGTGAACACTGTTCTGGAACATGCTCATCATGTTATTTTCATCTATTTATTACACGATGGCCACTTTTCCTGACAAAATCTCATTCAGCTTAATGCAACAAATGTAACTTGAGACAAAGGACTCGTTGGTTGTGATGGTCTAATGCCAGTTTGCTCCACTAAAATCTATGTTTTTGTGGACACAACATTCTCAGACAAACTCTACATTTACATTACCTGTACTATCATTCTTTGACATGTAGTAACTACACACCATTTTCATTTCATTCACCGGGTTTAGAGGTTCTATATAAATAAAGTTACTATTTACAAAAACATTGGTTGCACAGATTTATAATAATGTTTAAAATAAATATTTGTTATTTGAATTATGCTGATAATTACTTTTGTTGATACTATCCCACCTGATCTGATGTCTCTTTTGTTTGCAGGAGAAGACATGTGAAGAATCAACCTCGTTTGATCTGACTCCCTATGATGTAGCCTCGGCCATCAATGCTGTGGACAGGCTGCTTGTGGAGCAGGCTAAAGAAATCAGCCACAAAGACTCTGTGAGTGAAGACGTCAACGTGGAATCCCTCAGCTCTGGTAAGAAAACCTTCGCTTATACACATGTTCCTAACAGAGTTTTCCATCTAATACTTAGAGTGTATAGTTGTTTATGAATGTCATGGTACTTTGGGCTACTTGTATACTTTAAAAGTTTGGATTTACTTCTACTTTACTAGCCTTAGTTTTGCCTTGGCCTTAGTTTCATTATTACTAGTAATTTTAGTTTATTCTTTAGTAAAGCAAGTAAAAGATTGTCAGCTGCAGGTCTTTTGATATTTTGTCTTTTGTTTTGTTTCAGGTTTAAAGTTAGATTTGTCCACCATCGCTAAAATCAAACGTAAGTATTGTGGAGTGGGTCGTCCTGTTGGTTGGTGATTGGAGGTCTTTTTCTAAACTTGTTTTCTGCTTTAACAGAGATACTACTGGATCTGGAAGCTGCCATTGATTCCTATGATGTTCCAAGTGAAAAAGGCATTACCAAACCTGGAATGTAGGTGACAGCAGTACTGAGCAGGCTTTCAAAATAAGAGCGTATGGGTTGCCCATTAATAAACTGATTATACAGTTGTTCCAAACATATGAAAATGAATAAATAAATCTCAAAGCACACTTGATGAGAGCTGGTCCAAGAAAATAATAAATATTGTCAAAGCTTTTCCACCTTTAACAATGCAGGTTTGAAATATGATGGCATTAAAATGTTTGAGTTTTAGCTTCACTAAGATACAGCCTCTCGCCCTATGACAGCTGGGATAGGCTCCAGTGCCCCCCGCGACCCTGAAAAGGATAAGAGGTAGCGAATGGATGGATGGATAAGATGCACACATCGTTACAGAACAGATAAGAACATGTATCTGTTCATGATTATTTTGTTGGTTCCCTGAATGCCGTTAAGGTCATGTGGAAAAAGCAGACAATGTAAGAGAGAAAGCTTCTAAGGCAACAAAGCCAGACTTGAAGTGCAGTCAGTGTAAAACATCAGTAGGATGAGGGCAAGAAACAAGACTTTAAGTGATGACATCTGACCAGGATGGGAGTAAATTTTATTTTAAAGGCGTCAATTCGTCATTTTTCCAAAACAGACTGTCGACATTTATTTCCACACACGTCTGAGTCGGTTCTGTTCCATAGAGTATGGTTCAGGTAAGAAAACACATGTCACAGGTTGGTGTGTCGTATCGCTCGTGTGTGTTTTATGCATAGATTTGTGCGTTTGTGCTTCGTATGATGTCTGTTATGTTTAAAGGCTGTCTACATCCAATTTTCATTCATGGGAATGCCCTGAGAACTTCCTGACATTTAGCACGTGCATTTCTTCTCTAACCCAAAGGTTATATGCAAACTCAATCAGAAATCTTAAATGACACGTACGAGTTCACGCTTTGACCCCTGCCTCACTCGGCTCCGCCTCCTATGTACTGCATGTATCAAACAAAAGAAAAATGCCCAAATTAGTCTTTTAAAAAAGGCTAAAACAATGTGGCCTCAAGAAAAACACCTGATTATAACTATTATTATAGATACATTGGTTCTTATATATAATGATCATATCTATTGGATTATAAGTGGAATGGAATTTATAGAGTGATTAAGACAAATTGAACATTGGTGACATCCTACATGTTATACATTGTTGTGCAGAAGGAAAAACTGAGATATCACATTTGATTTTTAGCAGCATGAAAAATGCTTTTCTTTTACATCCATATTTGAAATAATTGTCTATAATGTTTTGTGTGAATCAGCGTTAACTGCATACAAAAAACATTTTTAAAAAAATGTACCTTAGTCAATTTAACCGCTGTTAAAATGGACACACAGCAGAACAACAACAAGCTCTGAGTCTGAGATCAGTTTTACTTATATTGTCGTTTTTATCATACTTTATTGCAGGAAACTGACGCAAATGTTCCCAAAGTATTTTAGGGTAGTGTGGTGACACTGTGACAAATCTGTGGTTGGAGTCATGTATTTAAAATAAAACAAGAAGAAGAAAGTGGTCAGAGACTGTGTGGGTAGTCCTTAGACTACCGTGACATAAACCCTAGTGGGGTTCTTCCTTAGGTGGTCAGAGAATGATTCTGAATGTTAACTGTAATAATAAACCTGCACTGCATGTCTCTCTGTTGTGTCTTAGTTTCATCTATGAGGTGTTAGAAAGAGCTCATCTGACCTACAGCAACAAGACGGCAGTCTATGAAGCTCTGGAGCAGATCAGTGGATACCTGGCAGGACGTAGGACACATTATCACTTCATTTATCATCTGTAACATTTGCTGGGTGTATTATACAGATCATCTTAGTGCTACTAAGTAACAAATGACCTGTTTGATGCATGTTTCTCACCAGAGCCCGGAATATTCCTCAATACAAGTGGACTCCAGAAGCTGTCTGATATCATACAGGTACACTTTGTATGGATATTAAACTGTCAAACTGCTTCTTTGTTTGGGTTTTTCGATTGGTCCCATAATATTTGTGTGATTGAGATCATTCAACAAAATGATAGACTTTATTACTATTTATTGCATGAAGAGTAATTATTTAATCACCTCGTGGCGTGTTTGAGCGATCCCCTCTGTTCTGGTGTTTTTAGCTGGTATTTTGTGGTGAACCGTCAGAAAAGGACAGACAGCACCAGATGGAGACCAACACGGCTCATTTTAAGGTGTGTTTTTGTACAGTTGTGTTCATATTGGAACCAGCTAACATATCTTTGCCACACTTGATGGAGAAGTAACTGAAACTGTAACCATTGTTTCGGCATCTTAAATGTTTAATTTCTTTTTTTTCTTCTTTTTTTTTTTTTCTTGAAATGAAATGACTAATGATGAGCTTGTGTCATGTGTTTGGCTCAGGTTCATATCCATCGGGACACCAGCTTTCACAAAAAGAAACAGAGTGTTGACGTGTGGGCTTCATCTTCATCAAAAAAACAAGGTAACGATGCACAGCGTGATGCGTTGGTGGGTTACATGGAGTCACATGAACTGAATGTAATATCATGATATTTTCTTTTTAGATTTAGGTCAGAATGTGAACCCTGTTATGAGTGTATGAACTATTTGTACTGTAAGTAAATGTGATTTGTTTCTCTGCATATTGCAGGCAATATTCTGAGTTACTGGTGCTTCTCTCCGGGCTTCAGTATGCAAGATCTGGTGAATCAAGGCGTTCGCTGCATCATTCTGACCAGTGGTACCCTCTCTCCCCTGTCGTCTTTCACATCTGAGATGAGAATGTAAGTTAGCTGTCACTCTGACTGCACAGCTGCACAGTTACATTTTTCCCACCTGAGTAGCAGCTCATTAAAATAAAACCAAAACACAATGGCCTTTATACCTGTTTAGGCTGAACACTGTCCACAGTGAACTGTTCTTAAAATGTAAATCTTTGGTGATTTTTGTAACTCACCATGAAAGTTAATGATTCGTTTTAAAGCCAGAAGTATCAGCATAAAAAGTGGTCTTTAACATGGATAAACCAGGAATGCTGATACATTATGTTGCATTTATCTGTCAATAATTAAGAATGACTCTGACATTAGACAGACCTGTGTTCACTTGTTAGCATCCAAAGGCAGCATAGCACCTGCTGATGAATTACATCTAAAACATGTAACATATAGGTTTTTGGAAAGTTAATGTGTTTTGAAAATGTTGTAACCTCGCCTGGATTTTAAATTAAACAGTCAGACTGTCCAAACGATTGCATTAACTGTTCAGAGGTTTCAGGCAGTTTTTACCCCTTAAGGGTGTGATTGTCCCCCAACCTGGCAGGTGGGTGGTGTGGACACACAGGTTTGTGAATGTGATAAATCATGAAGCGGCTGGTGTATGACTTTTAAATTGACACTGTAGGTGGATTTAATAACTTGTAACTTTAGTGTATTCACTTTATTGTCAGTGCAGCCCCTAATGAAACAGTGTTATGCATGTATCTGGGCCAAATATGTTTACTGTAATGCATCTCTATATGCCAGTGAGTTTCTGCTCCTGCTGTTACAGAGAATTCCCAGTACGTCTGGAGAACAACCATGTGATTGAGCGGGACCAGATCTTTGTGAGCATCATTGCACAAGGGCCTGATGGAGCGCACCTAAGTTCAGCGTTTGATCGGAGGTCGGTATTCTTTTTTAGCGTATGATTACTTTCTAACAGGTCGGTCAAGTTTTGCCATGTGCCTAAATACAAATGAAGGTGCATGGCAAAACTCATTTAGCTCATGGTAGTCTCTGACCTCTGGGGAAAAGTTGTCAAACCATATTTTTTCTCATCTTTTGATTTATTAGAAAGTCAAGTAAAATCCTGCTGTGTGTGTGGAAGACTTCAACTTACTTTTATATAACACTAGTTCAGGAAAATTGTCTTCTCAAGGCACTTGATATTAGAATGAACACTCCAACAATCAAACTGTTGTGCATTAGAGGTAAACTGTAAATAAGCTGATTCTTATATAGAGCTATTCAGAGATTATTAAGCTAAGCACATAAAGTGGAAGAGTCATAGTAGCAATAAAATCAGTGTTCACAAGACATGAGATTCCAGATTATCTGCTTTGTTTCTACTATATTACCAAAAATGAAAACACACTCACTGAAACACACTGAAATAAACAACTCGGCTACATCTGGAAAAAAAAAACAGTTGCATCAGTCAGACAATTGCAGAATATGATCAACTGGAACTGAGACCATTTAAGTACATGGATCCAGACTAACTTGCAACTGCAGCATTTATGTATCCTGCAGCAGGATACATAATAAAGAGATACATAACACTTATAGTGAACCGGGTCAGGGAGATGTATGAAAAATCCTAGGAAAAAAATCCAACCTTATTTCCTGTTCCATAGAACGTGTTTGGTTGTTAAGAGTTTAAGTAACTCTTGGTTAAATCGAAATTGTAACTGGAAACTGTTATCTTATTATGAAAAACCTTTCAATATAGTGCTGATTCATTTGTAAGACGTTAGACAGTTTTTGTTTGTTTGTTTGTTTGTTTTAAATAAAAAAAAAACCTGATTTGTTAACCCCTTAAAACCAGTGGGAGCGCTCCTGTAGGGTTTAGGTCAGACTTTTAGATCAAATTACCATAACTCCTAAAACAATGGGGCAATCAAAAAATTCCAGCAGTTTCTGAAAGTATCACCTTTTTCAGTTATATTAGGATCATTACGGTAATTCCAGGGTACCACATCTAAATCTCAGCAAACAACACAGAAAACAACAAACAGCAAAACGGTAAAAAAAAGAACCCATATGCCCAATAAAATGTCAGTTTTCTGTAGAGCTTCATCACACTCACTCCCTCTCTCTTCTCTCAACCAACATTAGTCTTTTGGGACTGCTGCAGCACTGTGCCTGGGTTTAACGTTATGACCCAAATATCACTGTATCGCTCCTTTCAGGAACCACAAAGTCTTTCAATTGAACAGATGGGAGTTACAGATGTTGAAAAACCTGTCTGATGCCAGCGACAGGCTAGGCTTTAGAGGGCTAAAACAGGGGGTGTAATGTGTTAGAGAGATGTCCCTCAGAGGCACCCATACACTTTTCAATTCATGGAGGATGTGTCAGTAGGAGATAAGAGCTGTTGTGGCTCAGTAAACAATGATGCTCTAAAACAGGGCTGGGGAACTCCAGGCCTCGAGGGCCGGTGTCCTGCTGCCTGATCTGCCTTATTTGTATGACACAGACAATCCCTTAGCAGTAGCAGTTGGTGAGAGTGGGAAGGAAGAGCTCCTTTTTTATATGTTACCTCATATATATTTTACTGGTTCTGACTTTGAAGTTGTTACTTGAGTGCTAAACTCAAACTGTAAATTTGTGTGGCAGGTTTGTTCCTGAAAACATGGCGTCTTTAGGCAACACCGTTGGTAAGATCACAGTATACAGCATGGAAATCGTTTGATTGTGCTAACATCACCAACATTGTTAACTTTTAGCTCTGTTGTTCATGGTGATGTCATATTGCTTATTACCTTTTTGATTTTGTGTTTAAGAGTAGCACCTTCTACTACAGCTTGGCAATAACGGGGTCATAAGGTGGAAACAGAAGGTACTCTTGTACCTGTGCCTATGAAGCAAAACCAATGACTGATAAGAATAGCAATATATTGATTAGACTTAATAATACTACTAATACTGGCTGATGCTGTATTACTATTTCTACACTATATTGCCAAAAGTATTGAAGACAAGTGTGCGATTGTTTTTATCACTATTTTAATGATGGTGCTCGTGTCAATTTGGTCGTTGATTGTTGATCAGTGGTCAAGACAATCATGACCGCTCATTGTTCCTCAGTGCTGCTGGTTTTAGTCATTATGCAAATGTACTGTTTATAAGGTTGGGGAAACCTGAGCTGAGACAGTCACCTGGTAGAGTGACGAAATGTCTCTACTGCTGACAACAATACATCTATATGAACAGGATTAATGTTTTAGGACTGTCCATAAATTTATTTGCCAGTGATGTAATAAAAAATAACCATAACATGATTATAACATTTACATTTAACACACAGACATGTTTTTCTTCTGTTCTGTTTTTTAATTATAGGAAGTATACACACAGATTGTGCAGATTGTTTAATGGTGTACTAATACGACACATTAAATAATATTTACATTGTTACCTTTAAACAAAGAGTAAGGTTGTGAACACGAGGCAGGATTAAAATCCAGCATTATAATACAGAGTATCCTACTTTTTAACCATTAGTTACTATTGCTTTGTTATTATAAGGTTAATGTGAGGGGCCAGTATATACATATTCAGATGCACAGACATAGGAAGTTTATTATTAGCAGGTATATGTCATATATGATATATATCATAATGCCAGTATATTACTGTAACTAATTGGTTTTGCCTCATAGGCATACGTTTTTCTATGTTATTACACCCAATTTTGGCCCGTTACCACAACTCGCCTATAACCAATGTTGATACGAGGTAAAAAATAAAAACTGCTTAGATATTATTCTGGTGATTAAGTTGTAGTAATTTGCTATTTCCATATTATTACATTCTTGGCCTTTAATGTCTCGTTATTACCACATTACTGCTGAGCTATCATAGGAAGTGCTACCATGTTGGATTGTATATGGAGTGTGAAATCTTTGTTTTGATTGTGATATATATTTGTAAGTTATACTCACATATATTTGTAACTTGTGTTCTCTCCTCAGCTAACCTGAGCCGTGTGGTTCCTCACGGACTCTTAGTATTTTTCCCTTCCTTCCCTTTAATGGAAAAAACATTGGAATTCTGGAAAGTAAGTGGAAAGTCAGCAGAGTCACCTGAGGAAAGAAATAATAGTTTGGGCGCTGCGTTTTTAGCTTTTCTAGTGACTTTTATGTTGATGTTTGGTTTTTTTTTTCCCATGAACTGTATTTTGTATTTTCTAGCAAATTAGAAATCAATTTACTGGAAATTTAATATGGAGACTACTATGCCAATGCTTCTGCTACTGGTTGACTTGTCAGCAGCCAATAAGAGGTAATGGGATGTGTGACAATTGTGTCACACATCCTGTGGAACCAGGACCCCAGTACAGGAAGTCTGGATCAGGTCTCTCTGTTTAAATAGTCCAGTCTCTGAGCCTATGAGTATTAAAAATTGCAGAGAGCTTAGATGGAGCCAATTGATGAGGGGACTCGTCCAGTTCCAACTGCCTCTTAGCCTCCCGATGTCTACTCTGCCTACCCGAAAAACCGGGGCTGAGTAGCCTTGCAGTGCAGAACACCTCACTCAGGAGGCATCCTTGTAAGATGCGCAAACCATCTCAGCTGGCTCCTTTCGATGTGGAGGAGCAGCGGCTCTACTCTGAGCCCCTCCTGGATGGCTGAACTCTTCACCCTATCTCTAAGGGAGAGGCCAGCCACCCTTCGGAGGAAGCCAATTTCCACGGCTTGTATCCACGATCTCGTTCTTTCAGTCAGTACCCACAGCTCGTCACCGTAGGTGAGGGTAGGGACCACCAGTAAATTGAGAGCTTCGCTTTTACACTCAGCTCTCTCTTCACCACGACGGACCTGTACAGCGTCCGCATCACTGCAGCCGCAGCACCAATCGTCTGTCGATATCCCGCTCCCTTCTCCCTTCACTCGTGAGCAAGACCCAGAGACACTTAAACTCCTCCTCCTGGGGAGTGAGAAGCGCTGGGAATGAGGTGCTGATTCTCATTCCCAGCGCTTCTCAGTCGAAGCATTCCAGTGCAAGCTGGAGGCGATCACCCGGTGAAGCCAACTGAACCACATCATCTGTAAAAAGCAGAGATCAGATTCCGCGACCATAAAACCAAATAATCAAATCACTTGAACTATACTTTTTCAGTTAACCTACTCGGAGCTAATGCTGATTCTCTTCTGATCTTTGAGAGGAGAGGGTTTGAGGAGAGAAAGAACCAAAGAATGTTAAGCCAAATTGTAAGTCCATAGTTTGGGCAGCAGTTGATCCCTCTGCTGGAACTTTCAACTGTGAACTATGAGATCCAATTTTTTTATTTTACTTTATTTTATTTTAACTGCTTATCTTCTAGATGACAGATGGAAAACCCTTTATTTGTTCTGCACTACAGTATTATACTTGGTTATCCTTTCTCCCACCTCTCTTCCTGGATGTCACATCTTCTGAGGGGATGTCTGTGCTCACACCCATTGTGGCATCCAGTCACTGTTGTTGGCATTTAATCACTACACCTTACCATCCTCCCTGTCTGTTTCTCTCTGTGACCTTACTTCATCATGATTTTAAGCATAGTTTAAACTTCCAAATCGCTTTAACATTTTTTTATTTTCTCATCATTATTTCAATTACATAAATACTTCTTCTTATACTAATTAGAAGCTAAGAATTGCTTTCTGAAGTGTGCAAGAAATACATAAGAAATGCATATTAAAAAATAGAATGTAAAGATATCAAAAGAGTTAATCATTAAGTCAAAAGCCTTGTAACCTGTATGAACCAATTTATTTATGTTACGTTTATGTTACTCCGCAGTCAAATGAATCATTTATAACAATCTAAGATGCTGCTGTAAATCATTTCCTGCATGTGTGTCATCACCAGGCTAACGGACATGCAAACCGCATTGAGAACATAAAGCCTATGTTTGTTGAACCTAAAGGGAAGGGCACCTTTAATGACGTGAGTGTTTTTTTAGGTATCTAATCACTTGGCTGTAAACCCCTCTATTCACATTTTCACATCTAAAAATATTTCCTAAGTTGTTTATAGTAAAAAAAAGAAAAAAAAAGTAAAGATCTGATTAAACTTTAGCCTCTGTCTATTCCCAGGTTATTGATGGTTATTACGGCAAAGTCAATGATCCAGCATCCAAAGGAGGATCCTTCTTTGCTGTGTGTCGAGGGAAGGTGAGGAGGCTGTCCATGAAGTCTGTAAAAGTCCTAAAATGTTTTCTGTTATCATGTTTCACCTCAAAACTTCAGCTGTATACAGTGAGTATGCAGTTGTAGTCAGAAGTTTACGTACACTCATCGTGAGCATGAATGTACAACAGGCAAATCATCCCTCTGTATACTTGATAGTCGGCGCGGTGTTCTTAGGTTTGAAGGCCTCACTTTTACTCGTCCAGTCCAGTTTTCATTGTCTGTGAAGGTCTGTGAAGTCATCCAGGTTATCATAGTCTAAGGAGCTTGGAAAGAAAAGCATTTGACCCTAGAACTGAAGAAGCTTCTCAGATGAGAGGTGAAATGTCTTCAAGCAACTTAAAGAAGTCCAGACACTTTTCTTTCCAAGCTCCTTTGACTACCTGCTCATTGTCAACAACACCACAGTCGTTGTCTTGTTTGTCCAAAAAACTTTTCTCCAGAAATCATTTGGCTTCTCTGTGTGGGCAGCTGCAAATTCTGTTGGTGTTGAATATCCTATTTTCTCAATCTGAGGCTGACCGTTTGAGTCTCCTTCCAGAGCTTGATAAAGTGGTGAGACATCTGAGTAACTTGTATTTACTTAAAATAGTTTGAACTGATGATCTTGGAATTTGCAGTTCAGAAATGTTCCAATTGGCATAAATCTACAGTTCTCATTATTAGCTCATTACTGAGTTCCTTGGATTTTCATATTGTTCTGAGTATTTGTCAATCCAGACAAATCTTGTAGTTGTAATGGATCATGATCACTAATGAGTTTATAGGCCTTGACCTCATCAAGTTAAAAGACTTTATGAAAGATTTTAGCAGATGTATGTTAATATTTGAGTTTATGCTTTTGACCCAGTGCGAATAAGAGAAAATCTCAATTAATTTAAAGTTGTGCACTCAATTTTGTGAAAGTCATAAGAGATGAGTGCTGTAGCATCATTCTACCCTGAATAAAGCAGTTGGAAGAAATCATTAAAAGCCCCAAATAATCATGACTTTTATACCAAGTAAACCTCTGACCACACCTGTATATGATATTCAAAGGACATGTTGACACGAGAGGACAAGGGTGCCAAAGATGTGACATCATTTTTTTTTCTTTTGTTGACAGACTGCATAACTACACAATGTTTTTGTAATGATGGCTCGTGAGTGTGAATGGTTGTCTCTCTTTGTTAGCAGTTTTATTGCTTTTCCAGGGTGCACGCTACCTCCTGTTCTGTGATGCTGGGACTAATTGGATAAACATTTAAGAAGATGCATAGACAGATTTTCTTTCATGTTAGTGTAGGGTTACACAAATAGCCGTTCTGTAATGATATCTTCTTGTGTTAGGCGAGCGAGGGTCTGGATTTTGCAGACACCTATGGTCGGGGTGTTATCATCACTGGCCTTCCTTTCCCTCCAAAGAACGACCCTCGAGTCATCCTGAAAATGCAATTTTTGGATGAGATGAATCGAAAGAAAGCTCCAGGGCTCAAGGTGAAAGAAAATTAACTATTGATGTACACTAAAAAGTTGCTCTGTCGTATTACGGTAGTTGGATCTCTCTGTCTTTGTGCGTGTGAACAGTACTTATCAGGGCAAGACTGGTACAAACAGCAGGCTTTCAGAGCTGTGAATCAGGCCATCGGTAGAGTGATTCGTCACAAGGAAGACTATGGAGCGATCTTCTTGTGTGATCAGAGGTCAGAGCTGGTTTACTTCAGTAACATCACATGAGAGGGAACATCCTCCACTATACCACACAGCAGCACACAAGCTTCAATTAAGTGCTTCGGTCACCTTATTTATTATTTATTGATGATAAAAAAAAAAAAGATTGTTAAACTAAAGGAAAACTTTCCCCACAGATTTAAAAGTGCCGATGCCCGGGCTCAGCTTCCATCGTGGGTGAGGTCATATGTGCGCCTCTGTGACAGCTTTGGCAACGTGGTCCGTGATGTCTCGCAGTTCTTCAGGATTGCACAAAAAATGGTGAGTTGTCGCACCTGCACGGTTTATACAATGCAGCAAATTCTTGCATTATTCAGTTTTGTTAAAGAACCAGCTCATAGTACTGATTCTGATCCGGAGGGAAGGTTTTTTTATTTTTTTTAAGCACTGAAAAAATGGAAAACTTTTTGATTTAAAACACAAAGTGAATAATTACCTGGAGTGTTTCCATTAATGGCTATGACACTGTTTATCGTGCTGAAGTTTGAATAATTTGATGTCAAGTGTTTTCTGTGAGTTTCTGTGGAATAAAGGTGAAGATAAGAGTTTTTTTAACACCATGTCAACCTTATTACTTTCATAATAAATGTCTACTAACATATCGTTTATCTGGTTTTCATTCATTGCATGTGCAGTAAAGGTGTGTAGACACTTGGTTACAGTTCAGGTTGTCAGCTTATACTCACAGTTTGTGCATTATACATTTAAGAGGCCTGTGGTTGAGAAGAAGGCTCCAGCAGACAGCTGTGCGACTGTGTGTTCATCAGACACTCAGTCCTCCAGTTTCACCTCTTGCTCCTCCTCACAAACGTCTCACACCCAGAAGGCCAAAGTGCTGGACACCTGCCTTCCCAGCCTGAAGAGGAGGAGACTCAGTGAGTACACAGATGATGGATGTGGTTTGATGTTTTGCTATTAAAGATGAAGGTGTTCTTTTGCTATACTAGATACCTTTAGCAAAGGGTTTCACAGGAGTGTCTTTAGAATTCATTATGCAGTTGAAATGTAGAAAAACTACAGTAGAAACATAGACTTCAATAATAAATGGTAGAAATTCAACTAGGAGCCAGTTAATCCTAAACCTACAGCTGGAAGCACTAGTTTTAAAATCTCCAGCTACAGCTACTCTAAAGTGAGTCCTTGATGAATTTTAACCCTTGTTTTTGTGGTCAGATGAGAACAGTGGAGCCAGTGGAATGGCCAGGATCTGCCTTGAGTATGAGAGTGAGGTGCAGGACAGTCAGAGGAGACCAGCCAACCTGCTGGATGCTTTGGAGCAAGGCAACCACGGCACTGGAGAGGACAGTGATTTTACCATGGGAGAGGAAAAGGTAGCTCGTTTTATTAACTCACATCGTGTGTGTGTGTGGGGGGGTGAGGTAGGGTGTTACACTATAAAACAAAAAAGTTTAAATACCACATTTTCCACTTGTTTTGTTTTTGAAGGCAAATCATTTGTCCACACTGTCTCTTCAATACGATAAGAGGATGGAGGATGAGTTGCGGGGTGGAAAACGTAAAATCAAGTTGGTCCAAGAACAGGTAAGTGGTGTTCTAAACAACACACAGCTGGACTCGGTGAAAACGTCTTTTCTGACTGTTGAAAGTTGGGGATGAATCGTTAAAGTTTAAAGGGTTGGGATAATTATGTTTATCTGTGGCCTGCTGTTAACTGAATTTGAACTTTTAAGCAATTATTTATCTAATAAACCTATGGTGCACCTGAAGAAAGTGCAGACAATTAGTAAGAATGATGTGAAGAGGATGAAAACTAGAAAAGCTGTTGGTCCAGATGACATACCTGTAGACGTACAGAGATGTGTAACAGAGGGCAGTGAACTTTGAACCAGATTGTTTAACATCATTTTGAATTTACACTGCTGCTGAGATTATCTTTTCCTCCATGGTTATTGAAGAAGCCGAGTGTCTCTGAGGATTTGTCTGAAGAAGGAAAGGCGAGCAGGGCTAAGAAATTCCTGGCCGACATGAAGAAGTCCCTGAGTCAGGTCAGCTTTGACCGCATCATACGGGCTCTGCAGACCTACAAAAAGACCGACAACCTGGATCACCTGCTGACTGAGACAGCAATTTTAAGTGAAGACACTAATACTCAGAGTCTCCTCCATGGTAAATCTTCTGCTCTAATAAACACAAAGCGACCTGAACATTCAGACTCGTTTCTGAGCCTCAGTGTTGCATGTGGTAGCACTGCATGTTGTGTACTGATACTAGAAGGTACGGCAATACACTGCTATTAAAACGATAAACACCACACATAGTTAACACTGAAGAATGACAGTACGCTGCCACCTATAAAGTATACCTGCTTTGCAGACGTCTGAACTCTACAGAACACGTTTTCTTAATTTATGATTAGACATTTTACGCTCTTTGTAAAATGTGTCTAACTAGTGCAACTATTTACAAATCCGTTAAAGTCTTTGCACTCTTTTCAATAAAGTGTTTTAAATTATTTTAATATGTATAATTAGTATGTTTTAAAACGTACACAGCACGATAGTTTGAATATGTGCAGAATGTATTGACAAGCAGGGTTTCTATGAAAATCACATTTTCTAAACTGCAACGTTCAGGTTGTTTCATTTGATATACAACTTACTGTGGTCGAGCACAGTGCAAAATTGTAAAAGTTGTGTCTCTGTTCACATGGTAAGGATGAGATAAGCTTTAATTCAAAGGGTTTAAGTATTGCTTTAACTGTTAAGGAATTATAACATGCATTTTCAGAAGCTCAAAGTAGTTAGACAAACCAACATAATTTTAAATAAAGATTGTTTTTAATAACTGGGTGAAAATCTCTTGCAGTCAATGATTGCCTAAATTGCCCATGAACATTGCCATATTTAGATACAGTGCAGATCATAGTCGGTCAGTATGAGTTTTCAGCCTTGTGTCTTACAGAGATTTCTCTACAATAATAGAATCGTTCTTTGTAGTTTGCCCTGTTTTTTCACAGTAGTGTAAGAACACCTCACCCAACGTTACTTTTGAAAAACTGAACATAACTGTCAACATTATTAGTCTTGATATCTACACAGGAATAATATCAATGTCAAAGTCATGATTTCAGTATCAGGGCACCACATTAACAGTGTGTTAATGCAAAACAGTTTGTAGTTGACTGCTGTTGCTGCCTTGTGTCACAGGCTTCTACCAGTTTGTTCGCCCACACCACAAAAAGAGGTTTGATGAAAATTGCCAGGAGCTGACAGGGAAGGGCTGTGGATACAAACCTGATCACACTCTGTCCAAGGATGAGAAGAAGACTGTAATGCTGCAGAACGGTATGACACACGCTCTTCATTTTGTTCTTGGAAATGTGTGTGAGATACATGGATTAGAAAAGAATGTCAAGGAAGAATAACACAATATTCCATTTTAAACATGAAAGACGAATTCCAGGCCATACTCGGCACAGATGTTCCTGTACACTATGCCGGCCACTTGGTTATGGCGTTCCATGTATGCCCTGCCTGCTAGCATCTTACACCCTTGCCTGGTGTGATAGACCCCAGCCTCAATGGATCTTGTGCTCAAAGCTTGTTCCTGTGCTGCCATGATGAGTGCCTCTGTGCTGTCTTTCAGTCCAGCTTTGTCCAGCCACTGGTAGGATTTCTGGATGTCAGCCACCTCCTCTATCTGCTGGTGGTACATACCGTGGAGTGTTCTGGCTTTTGTTTGTCTCATCCTGGACTGTGGTGCTGACACTCACAGTCCCCGGCCTCTTTCCTTAGCTTAGCGTACCGCCTCAGGGTGCTGGACTTGGGGTGAAACTGTCCATGCATAGTCAGGAGCTTCCTGGTCTTGATGTCAGTGGCTTCTATCTCCTCCTTTGGCCAGCTTATTATCCCAGCAGGTTACCTGATCAGGTGTTGATAGCCCTGATCTTGTTCTTACTGTTCAGCTGACTCCTCAGGACTTGCCTGACCCTCTGCAGGTACTTGGTGGTTGCAGCTTTTCTAGCAGCTTCTTCATGGTTCCCATTTTCCTGTGGGATCCCCAGGTACCTGTAGCTGTCCTCTATGTCTGCAATGTTGTTCAGTTCTGACTACCTTAACTCTCTTTGTTACCATCCGACTACACTTCTCCAGTCCGAACGACATTCCGATGTCATTATTTTAGATCCCGGTGGTGTTGATCAGTGAATCGATGTCTCGTTCATTCTTGGCATACAGCTTGATGTCATCCATGTACAGGATGTGGCTGACAACTGCTTCGTTCTGTAGTCTGTATCCATAGCCAATGATCTCACGAGGTGGTTCAGGCCTATGCAGACCAGCAGCAGGGACAGAGCATCTCCTTGGTAGAGGAGATCAACAAGTCACCTTGGTTGATGGTGACTTGTGCTATGGGCTTGAAGTTGGCCTCTAGTGTTGTATGCCACATTCCCATTGAGTTTCTGATGAAGGCTCTTAGGGTCCTGTTGGTCTTGTACAGTTCTCGGCATTCCAGGATCAGGTGTGGGGCATTGAGTCATAGGCCTTCTTGTAATCAATCCAGGCAGTGCACAGGTTGGTGAGCCTGGTCTTGCAGTCTCAGCTGACTGCTCGGTCTACCTGTAGCTGATGTTTTCACCTATTCTCTGCATATCATGCTGCATTTTTGTCAAACAGTAATGATGTTTACTTGATACATACCCATACAAAAAACTTGTGTCATGTAATGTGTGTCAGTGATGGTTAAGCATAAAACTATGTTGATCAGGTTCTACATCAAAGAATGAAGTCCACACTACCTTTCTGACTGATGTGAAAAAAGCTCTTGGGGCAGAGAGATCGACACAGCTCTTTCAGGCTATTCACACCTACAAAAACACAGACAACTATGAAAAACTGGTGACCACAGCAGTGAACTTATTCACTGAGAGAGATGAGAACTTCGGCCTTCTTGTCAGTAAGTGTTCTTCCAGATCATGAGATGTTCTCTGCCATCTTCCTGTAAATGTTTGTGGTTTGAAACGACTTTCTTGTGTTCCTTTTCTTAAGGATTTGGTATGTTTATTCGTCCTAACCACAAGAAGCAGTACAAAGACATGTTGGATGGCTTGATAGGTCAGCCAGTCTCTGCTTCTGATGTTCCTGTTATGATTGAGGAGCAGCAAGAACAACCTGAAGGTAAATCCCTGTGGTCTAGAAAAGTGTGCTTTACCTTGTGACTAATCATTCTCATTCATTCAGTTTTATTTATATGGTGCCACTTCACAATATACTGTGGGCATATAACTTTACCCACCCCGCAAAACTGAATATTCAGTTCTCGTTTAGTTTTTTATTTTTTGGTTTCTGTCAGCGCCTCAACACATGACAGATACAGATAACTCTTTATTGTTATTGCACAGTCATACATAGAACAACAGTACAACGAAATTGGAAACTTTTTTCCATGTGTCATCCTGTTGTGTGTTTGATGTCATGGTTTTTAAGTAACGAAAAGGATTTTAAATAATAAAATGAACACGACATCTGACATATAAAACTTTCCTTTTGCATTTTTTCTTTGTTTTCCAGCTTCGCTTTTGTCTCCTTTGAGGTCCCAAAGCAAGATTTCCAGTTATTTCTCAAGCAGCCAAAGAAGATAGAATGCAAGTGAATACTAAATGAATGGTCCAGAATTCCTTATTGAGTTCAGGGTATCATAGTTCAAACTAACGTGAGTTAAATTTCTGTCTGTTGTCTTCAGTGACCATCCCAGGAACAAGTCTGTTCCTCTGCTGAGTGGATCTTCTTTTTTTAACTTGTTCTTGATGTTTGATGTTTTGAATGTAACTGTAAAGAAATTAGCTTTTTTCCATGTGATGAAATGTAAATCTGATATGGATAAATAAAATCTTTTTCATTTTGTAAGATAATTGAATTGATGAAATATTCTCATGACCTGAGTTTCATTTGTACGTCCAGCAATGCTTCGAAGCAATAAAGTGTAGCTTATTGATTTGTAAACAAGTCATACACCAATGAAAATAATTAGTATTAGCATTACATTTATAGAAAGCGGAGAGTGCCCCCAACACACACACACACACACACACACACACACACACACACACACACACACACACACACACACACACACACACAGACACAGTTTCACAAGAATAAATCAGATCAAATCATGCCTAACATACATAACAAATCATTTGTGCTGCCTGTCTGAACTCTACATTCCTAAGTTAAGTAAATATTTCCTATGTTACCAAAAATATTTGTTATTAGCTGAGAATGTCAAGTAATGGAAGAATTTTTTTCAAATCAGTCTATTAGGAAAAGAATCAGGAAAAACACTGTTACAACTCAGTACACTTAAAACTGTATTATTGTAAAAATGCAACATCAAATGGACTATTGTCACTGCTGCACATCTTTGACACATGGATTGAAGTTGAAATCATTTAAAATATTTTATATTTAAATTCCAGAATCATATTGGATAAAGTGTGTGTGTGTGTGTGTGTGTGTGTGTGTGTGTGTGTGTGTGTGTGTGTGTGTGTCCAAGTATATATTAATTTTAAAAATCAGCTTAATTACAAGACTTGAGCAGCGTGACATTAACTGTCCATATCTGCAGGTTGGATTAAACATGTTTAAATGTATTACTTTCAGTCAACCAAGTAATTTGTCATAGACGTTAATCTGTGAGTAATCACACACTTTGTTAACAGAAGACAAAGGTTTATGGAAGTATATTTATGTCAAAAGTTGTACATGAGAAAAAAATCTATTCAGTGTTATTTATATGGCACCAAATCATAACAACAGTTGTTGTGGACTTCGGGAGGTCCAGACCAGGTCCACTGCCGGTTCAGATAGAGGGAGAGGAGGTGGAGGTGGTCAACACATACAAGTACCTCGGGCTGTGGGTGGACAACAAACTGGACTGGTCATGCAACACGCAGCACCTGTATAAAAAAGCCCAAAGCCGACTGTACTTCCTCAGGAGGCTGAGCTCTTTTAACATCCGCAGGAAGCTCCTGAGGATGTTTTTCCAAGTGGTGGTTGCTGGAGTACTGTTCTATGCTGTGGTGTGCTGGGGCAGCAGCACAGCAAAGAATGACTCATCCAGGCTGGAGAAACTAATCAGGAAGGCTAGCTCTGTGGTCGGCATGAAGCTGGTGGCAGAGAAAAGGACACTAAAGAAACTGCTGGACATTATGGACAATATTATATTATATATTCTGTATTAATAAATGTGTATATATGGTATATTTATGCTTATATCCTTACTCTCATTCCCCTTACTGTATCTGTAACATGCAACTTCTGTCGGTGCTGTGCTACTGGAAACTGAATTTCCCAGAGGGATTAATAAAGTTTCATCTAATCTAATCTAATCTCTACTAATGGGAAACTGGCTTTAGATCCATAAATGACACATTCTTCACTAATCAGGATAGTTGGAAAGCTTTCTTCTTTATAAAGGAGCAATACATGTTTTTATTAAACATTTGAACATAATACAACACAAATTCTTGCAGAGGATACAAAGTCAGAGAGATACAGTTGAAAATGACAAGTACACGGAGAGCGGCTGCAAAAAAATGACGTACAAGCAGAGTGCAGCAGCCAGCACAACACAAACATTGGGCCCTACGCTCTAGCTTAAAAGCGAAGGACCCACTCCTGAGTATCATAGTATGAACCCTTTTGAATTGAGGCCAGTAACTCACATCCATCCCATCATTTCCTGGGTCATCAATGTGTGAAGTAAGAGCAGACTGAACAAAACCAACACTTCTTAGTTTTTTTTCTAGTTTTGCTCTTTGCACTGAAGTGACTGATAACTGGCAATGAGGTGTCCAGTTTCATGGCATCAGGACCAAACTGGGTTTCCTGGGTTCAGAGGTTTGCAGAACCTTCCTCCCTTTGTTTCATCACAGCCGTCCTGTTGTTCTGTTGGCCCACTGAGAGCGACTTCATTTCAGAAACATCAGGAAGACTGAAGCTAATCTCCACTGTAGGCCTGCTCCAGAAGATGGACAAATCCAGGACTTTATGATCGCGACCTTTGTTTGTGTGATGTGAGAAGTACTCCACATCATTATCAGATAAAGCACAGAGGCTCTGCACTTTTACATAATGATGTTATATTCAGTCCTGTAAAAAGTTATATGTTTATTAATATGTAATATCCTCCCTGGTTACTCTGATATGCATGACTTGGTGGTGATGGTGAATAACATGCCATTAGCAAAACACAGTGTGAAAGAATTCCAGATTCCATTTTTAGTTCAACAAACAAGTGAAGACCTTTGACCTTACATCGGGGTTTGATTTAATGCTTTAGGAGGAAATATCATGTCCTCTTTATGCAGCTGACTGCATTCAGGATGTGTCCTGGATGAAATTTGGGAACACCGGATTAAGGACGATATTCCAGAAGGTATCTGTGATGAGCAGATCCCGTTTGAGCGTGTTGGCATAGACCTCATTGGAACATTTCACCAGAGTGCACAGGGATATCATTTTGTAGTAGTTCTAGTGAAAACTGCAACACAATATCCTGAAGCACTGCCGGTGCACACCATTTCCACAAAGTGTATGGCACAGGCACTGTTTCAGGTCCTCTACCGAGTCGGTATCCCTAAAGAGATCCTGGTTGACCAGGACACTTTGTTCATGTCTCGCAAACTAAAGGAATTACTGGGCATTAAATTTGTTTGGATTGTTGTGGTTTGGTGCTGTATAAATAAAACTGAATTGAATTGTTTTAACTCAGACTGTAGTATCATTGTATGAGCTTCGTGTTTAACAAGCATAAATGTCATCATAGAATTTCCTCCGTGCTCCTGCAGAGCATATCTATTCCTGTCACCAGCACATAACGTTTGTGATTGTTTTTAATGATGAATGCCCCACAGTTGTGCACAAATACAGTGTTCCAAACCAACCTCATTACCCCCCCCCCCCCCCCCCCCCCCCCGAAAAAAAGGCGACTCACATATAGCTCCTATATAAGGAATAACAAATGACAGCTATCATTGTAATAACTCTGTCTTAGTTTCTGATACTCTAAGTATCAGAAAGTGATGGACTGATGTGTTTACAGACAGCATTTTAATCATGATTTTAAAGGCTGTAGGTTGCAGTCATCACTTGAACACTGTATAGAAATGTAAGGGCTCAGTGCTGATTCTTATAGTTGCATCTGCTTCAAACTGTAAGAAACATGCGAAACATCACAATATTAAAAACGGTCGGCAGGTAGGAAGCACCAGGTTAAATCTATATTTTTATTTGGAATTCGAAAATCGTTTTTGAAAAGATGTTTTTATTGAGAGTTTAATTCTTTGTTTGTGAATTTTTTTTTCAATTTGAAATATTCAATTTTGAAATATTGAATTATAAATAGTGCTTTCATTTTTAATGTAATTATTAAATAATAAAATCATTTTTAGCAAATGCATGTATTAACGCATATTTTATTGCACAATTCATTATTGAAGCACAAAACTGTTTATTTGATCCGCATGACTTCTGGTTTTCTGTACTGGCAGCTGATAAGATACAAAGGCAGTCACATGACCTCACGAGATTGTCATTTAGTTCTCGCGATATCTCATTTTACCACTGTACAGTATTTCCATCATGGCAGGCAGTAAGTTGGTATTAGAGGCTAGAGTAAGTATAAATGGCTTTATCTTAGGGCTTAGCGTGGTTGTAATTCCTCTGATCAGAACCTGGTTTGGACGTCACGACTGGGTCTTTGATTATCTGACCGAGACTCCCGGGAAAATTGCGATTTCTTCTCATATTGCCCTTATTAACGGCCTCTTACTTCTGATATACAAGGGACCTCTGTACAAGGTAGGTGCTGTCATAAGGTTACCAACTTCCTGCTTTTGTGCTGAATCTTATGCTGAAGTCGTATTTTTTGTGACCTCAGTTTGTTTTGGCATCCTGCAGTTAATATAGCAATCAAGTTTTACGCCATTTAATATTAAATGCTAAATCTTGCTGCTAATGTTATCAAACTGAGTCGCCTAGCTAGCCTAGCTAACACTGAGTTAATCTCATTAGCAAAAGAAGAGAGAGGCTGTTGGTATTAGTGTGCTAAACATAGAAGTCTGTTAAGCTTAGGAACTTGCTGATTTTAGACAGTTGAAATGGCTAAACTCGATAACTGGTACTAACAGTTACTTTATGTGCTGTGACAAGAAAGTAATACAGAAGTCCATTCAGAAATCTGCTCATTTAGTCCTGTATTGGTTTGTATCTAATATAATTTACTTATACAGCATTGCTTGAGTTGATGAATGGAGAAAGAGGCAGTGATAAATTACAAAATGAGAGAAAGGAGGACAGTTACAGGATTAGGAAGCGCATAGGATTAGCAAGGAAGATGTGAGGGCTATAAATAGAATGAAAAGTGGAAAGGCGCTTGGTCCACGTAACATACCTGTGGAGTTATGGGATTGTCTTGGTCTCTCTGAGAGAGCAGGGCAGCGGACTTTGCAAACACATTGTTTAATGCAATGCCTGAGAAATAGAGGAGGAGGATACTGGTACTGCTTCTCAAGGACAAGGGTGATATGTAGCACAGTAGTAACAACAGAGCGAGAAAACTGTCGAGCCTTACCAAGAAGCTATGGGAAAGAGTTTTTGAACTAAGACTGAGAAGACCCCTACAGATTGTATGTTTGCATTGGAGAAGTATAGATAAGGTACTGTCTTTCTGGATGTAGACAAAGCATATCTTAGGATGCTAGGAGACACATTGTGGTACTGTATGAGTAAAGTCAGGAGTGACATAGAAGTGTGTGAGGTGTGCAGCTGGAATGAGTTCCAGGGGATACATGGTCTGGTACTTGTATACTGTGCACTCAAAGCACTTTTTACTACAAGACTTATTCATCCAATAATACACACATTTATTCAAGCAGTTTTCCTATCAATGAGTGCGTTGTCTGTCATTCACTCACGCTCTGCATTGTGGATGCACAGGGGGCAGCTTGCCCATGGATCATTTGACATTCAGACTGGAGGAGCTGTGAAACAAACTATCGATCTGGAGATGATCCCTTCTGAGCCACAGGTGGGGCTGGGATTTGCCTTGAGCCCCATCTTGTTCACAGGTTGAAGATGAAGTCAGGCAGGAGTCTCCCTGGACTTTGATATCTGCAGATGACATTGTGATCTGTAGTGAGAGTACAGAGCAGGTGGGATCAAGTTTGGAGAGGTGGAGATATGCTCTGGATAGGAGAAGAATTAAAGTCGGTAGAAGCAAGACAGAATACATGTTTGTGAATGCGGAGCAGACGGGTGTAATAGTGAATGACGAGTTTTAAATACCTGGACAGTGAAAAAGTGAGTGCAGAGTGTGTTAACAGCATGTCCTCGTTCTAGGTTGCTGTGAGGGCCTGCTTTTTGGGAGTGACCTTTGGCTGTGGTTTAATTATAACCTTCTCTGAAACCACTTGGACACATTTTGGCTGGTATGTACATTTGTTATGTTATGTAAAACTATATATATGTCACACTTTCTTGGTTAAATTCTACATAGATTTTTGTACGTTGACATCAGGATGTGTTTTTTCCTAATATAGGCCGGCTACAGTTGAACGTGAAGTAATCCTGTCTTTCTGCAGGTACATGTGTTCCCTGTCGTTCTTCCATTACTCCGAGTATCTGGTAACAGCCATCATCAACCCTCGCAGCCTGTCGTTGGACTCATTCCTGCTCAACCACAGTGTGGAGTACACGCTGGCTGCTGTCTCATCATGGGTGGAGTTCATTGTGGAGAAGCTGACCGTTCCAGGTTGGTGTGTCATCTGTGTAATGACCTGCACTCAGTCCACTCAGAACTGTTGAGAAGGGAGGTTGCCTGATCCAGTATATTAGCTCATGCTGAAATAACAATGATCTCAGATTACATCCAGACTGTGGAGCGTGTGCATGGGCTAATGGATTCATGGCTGACTCACATCCTATGTGCAGAGCTTCTGGCCGTGTCGTAGTACCCAGTATGATGCTGGCTGCTGCCAGAGATGTATCGCTTTCCTTGCTGTCACATGGGTATGACAATCAACAGTTCCAAAGAGTGGTTGGAGATTCGTGTTTCAAAATAGGAAGTAAACATGTTTGTTAAGTTTAAGTAACATTATAGTTTAGCTGGGAACCTGTGGCGACATGCAAAATGCATGAACAGCTATTCGTGTAACCATCAACATCAAAGAAATATAATAATCTGTTTTTTTAATAGATAACAGAGAAGGAAGGAGAAAGAGGCCAGCCATCATCCTTTCATGGGAACATACTGACACCTAATGTCACAGCTCTGTTGAATAAAGGAAGTGATGTACCCTGGTTTCCTGTTGGCCTGCAGACCAGCAGCTGGTCAGATCCTGATCTGCGCTCTCAGGCTTTTTATGTGCTCACCAGTATTTCATCGGTCTTTCTTATCTCTTATAGAACTGAAGCAACTCAGCTGGTTGAGCGTCTTGGGTCTCTTCATGGTTCTGTGTGGTGAAGGATTACGGAAGGCGGCCATGTTGACAGCCGGTTCCAACTTCAATCACATTGTCCAGAATGAGAAGGCCCAAAGCCATGTGCTGGTCACCAGTGGGGTCTACGCCTATTTCAGACACCCCTCCTATGTGGGCTGGTTCTACTGGAGCATAGGAACACAGGTGAGCTGCAGCAGCAATCATTAGTGTTTAACTTCAGCTCATTTTTCCACCTGGTGTGGTTTGTTTGTGCAGGTGTGAACACAGTAATCGCGCTCACGTGCAGACCAAAGCAGCCTCAGCGAGACTGTTTGGTTCTGTGTGGTTCCAAACAAACTCCAGAGTGACTCTGGATCACAGTTTATGATGTGAACGTGCTCACACACTAATCCGAACCATCTACCAGGTGTATGGTAGAAGTTTGATCTCACAGGAAACATTCTGTAGCCACGTATGCTTCGTATTCTCAGTGCAGGAAGGCGCTATAAGCTCTGCATGGGCTAGCAGCTAGCTGTGAAATGACTAAAGAAGTCTTCAGGCTCTGAACGTTTCTCCCACTGTAAACACTACGATCAGATGAACACAATCAACTTTCTGGGGATAAAGAAGTCTTTTCACTTTCTTTCCAAGCTCTTTAGAAAACCTTTGGGATGAATTGGAGGAGAGACTGAATCAGGCTCATCCAACATCAGCCTCACAAATGCACTACTAGGTGATTTTTAAAAGATTCCCATACACACACTCCTAAACTTTGTAGAAAGCTTTCCCAGACAATTTGAAGCTGTTATGCTGCAGGGTGTGCCGACATCCTAAATCCTTAAACCTTGTAGTTTAAGAATGGGATGTCAGTTAAGTTCATGTGTGTGTGACGGCAGATGAGCAAATACTTTCAGATCTGGAAGCTACATCCATCTTTTATAATGTCTGTTAAGCCCACGCAGCCCCCAACAGCAGCAGTGATGACGATGCTGGCACAGTCTAACGTGGAGTCTGTTTACAAACTGTAAAGAGCGAAGAGGCGGAGGTTTATGTCATCCAAAACAGCAGCGCTGTTCCTGTGGCCATTAAAACCTTTACTGGGAAAAAAGCGAGTGTGAGTCCTTCATCAAAGCAGCTGATTCAACAAACTCCAACATGAAGAAAAGCAACTCAGCAGCTGTTTGTTTTATACAGAGAAAAACCCGCAGATGAACTGTGAACTTAGTCCGATAGCATGTTTAAATGATACTGCTGAAGGATGACGGCAGCCATCCTATTTTACATGGAAGAGAGCAGGGGTGAGCCTAAAGGGGGGCATGGGGGCCACTAGACCATATTAATTTCAATGCTATCGTAACACGTTTCAGATTGAAAGTAAAATAATATAAAAATTTGTGTTTGGTATGTCGCATTAATATTTTTGTACATGGACCAGTAGAAGATGGAGCCGCTGACCTGAGGGTTGTTAGGTAGATGTTGGTAAACTTTAAAACATTGCAATTTCTAAAATGGAAACCAGTAAGCAGTTCATTTAAAAGCCTGTGTTGTTTTTTTTCTCTTTTGAATATCAATTATTGCTCGTTAATAGAGCTCGCTGAGTGATGTAATGAGATCTCTGTCTCCACCTTTCATGGATCTTCTTAAAAATTAAGAATGTAATTCTTGAAAAATGTAAATAAGCCCTTTTGAGCTATAAATAAGTCAAGTGGGCTTATTACTTTATATCGTTTTCAAGTGCTGTTTATGTGCAGCGGATCTTCAGCAGGAGTTTGTTCATCAGTGAATTGAATCAGAATTTGTAATGAACATATTAGAAACCCTGAGATGATCTAAATGTGTATCTCAAACGATTTAGATGCAGCTTTCTATGCATCTAACAGCTCTGTCGTATCTATGAGTAATGAGCAGCACTACAATAATAAAGGTAAAAGAAAATATTGATACTGTGTATTTTTACAATTAGGATCATTTTATCTTCTTGTTTGTTAAACACAAGGAACACAGTTTGATCAGAGTATAGCATCAAGTCAGTTAAACATGTAGGATATGTTAGGTAACGAGATTATTCAGTTTCAGCTGCTTTGGAGATAAAAAAAAAAAAATGAACAAAACAGGAAGTTTTCCAGGTGGAGGCTATTTTATTTAATTTGTCACTGCTAGCAGTATGAAGCAATGCCTGTGCCCTGCAGGTACCACCTGTAGTCCAGCTGCTCTGTGATGATACTGTGTGCCATTGCCAGAAGCGTTGCTGTGTGGCACCGATGGGCCGCTACTGTAGAAGAGCTGGACAGGGCCATAGAAGGTTCTTACACCATGAGCAGGACCAGTATCTGTTCTTTGTAGGAGGGACGCAGCGAACAATTAATAACAAATACATTTGTCAAGATTTAACGCTGAGATCCAAACTTAAAACAAAACAAGCAAAAACATTACAGAAGACGTAATGTTTGATGTGATCGGGCACACAGAACAGGATATGAAGGGTTACTGCTCGGCTGCTTTAATGCAGCTGTCAGTGTTTGAAATGCATCATTTGTGCTTTGTATGTTTTGGAACACTTTGTGTAGAATTATGAAAGATTTCTTAAAGTACTAACTATGAACTACATGTCCCACTCCTGCTGGTACACAGACCTCAGTCACTGGTTATTTGGTTTACTATTGGAGAGGTTTTCTAAATCAGTTTAATGAATTGTTTGTTGTTGCTGACATCTGTTGTCTTTTTCTGGCTGCTGCAGGTGATGCTGTGTAACCCACTGTGTATCCTGGCTTACACAATAGCCAGCTGGCGGTTCTTCCGGGAGCGGATAGAGGAGGAGGAGCTCTCCCTTATCCATTTTTTCGCCGAGGACTATGTTGAGTACAAGAAAAGGGTTCCCACCGGGCTGCCCTTCATCTCAGGCATCCGTGTCAACTAGACTGAGGAGGTGGATGCTGGACGCAATAGACTTAAAGCTCTAAAGCGAGTCAGACCTGATGGGTGGGTGTGTGTCTGGGCACGGCCCTCCCGAGGTAAAACCCTGCAGCTGACTGAGAATCCGTAGCTCACAGGCAGAAACCATGATAGCTGCGACAGTGTCAGGCTGCTGGACTGCTGTTTTTATATCAACCTCCAACATTCAGTTTAAGGCCAGACAAGCTGCACTCTTCTACATGTGTCCCATTTCATTTATTTCTCATGTGTCATTTGTACACTTGTAGCACGCTTTGTGTTCTCACTGATTACCTGTGTTGTTGGAGAGTGATGTGATCATTCTCTCAGGGGTTAGTAGCAAATGTTTGGACAGGAAATCAACCGGGTTCAAAATCATTAGTGTACAAATTCTTGTAGTACTTCTCCATTAAAGCAAACTATTTTTGATATGAGACAGACCCACACGGAGACTCATTATATTCAAGTCCTGATGTCTAAGTCTGTGTTTATCATCACCATGTTTCCAGTGGCAGATGTGCAGAATAAATGTCTGTTTATCCTCTGAATCTGGATTTAAATGAACAAGTCAGATTGGTTGGGAATGTTTACATTTTCTTTCTAAACGTGTCCAATTCCACATCGTCCCTGCTAATCCCAGTTTGTCCAATCACACGTCTTCATGTGAAACCTGCAGTCAGGCGTTGCTGTTAGGTGTAGTGTCAGCATATAAATAAAAAGATTTTTTGTAGCATCATCTGTAGTGTGATGTAACAAAAAAAGTCTTTTCTATGTGAAAAGACCAAAATTACAAAGAGTGAAATTCAGTAGCACAGGTTGGCTCAGTGCGCATCCTCAAAACATGTGATCTGGTTTAAATGGAGTTGGACAATAAAACATGTCATGATTTATGGAGACAAATAGTCCCAATTCTCACTTTGTACCTCAGCTTTTCTCCTTTTTTTGAGCTGTGAGCAGAGAGGAAGATGAGCAGAGGTGTTTAATAAGACCAAGGCCTCACTTTGAAGTGACATTTGTTCAATTTTAAATGTTCATGAGAACTTTTATATTTACTCTTAGTTCCATTTACAACATGACAGTGTGACAAGAGCGTATGAATACCATACAGTTTTGTTTAGTTACACTCTTACAGAGCATTTCATCGTCGTATATGACTGACTGCAAACGTAGACCTTCATATGTATATCGTCCCTGTTTGCGCCTCCTGTAAACCTGTGATGTGACTCAGAGGCAGGAAAGGCGAGAGAAGTGACAAGGTAGAACAGAGTGGAGTCACAGGAAGTGCTCACAGAGAGCAGTTTATCACAATAGGACAAACATTTTTGCAAAAGGGGAAATATAAGAACTCAACAGGTCGATACAGGTTGAGTGATGAATATGTGAAAAGGTTGGTTTTTGAAGTTAAATATACAAAAGTGTTTAACAGAATTTTATGCATGGACTGATGAAATAAATGAAGCTATACAGGAATCAGCCCCAACATTAAATCTACTTACAGCTTAAAAAACATTGAGTATTACTAAAACATGTGATGCATGGAGGCTCAAACAATTCACACATAAATGTCTCAGAACCAGAGACCAAGTGACATCACCAGAGGTCCTCGGCCACAGCTGTTTACAGCTCAGGTGGACCAACACAGCACTGGGCACATGGCTTTAATGTTGTGGCTGACAAAAACTTGATTAAGGATAGTTTCTAAGCACCTGAGTACAAGAAGGACGTGTACATACAGCATTAAACAAGTGTTTAGTGCTGTATGCTCGCATTATAAAGTACCTGAGGCTGTTAAAGTAACGTGAGCATGATCTGTAATCAACAGGAAGTGCTAGCAGCGCTCCAGTGCTAGAGCTCCTTTTGTATTTTAGGAACTGATTTTTCTTTTTGTCTCTCCTGTCAGCTTGTGACGCTCAAACTGTTATCCAAATCAACCAAATGACTTTATACTGTCAGCTGTAGCCGACGGTATAAAGCGCCTTTAGGGAACAGTTGTTGTTAATTGGAGCTACATAAATAAATCTGAGCTGAATGACTGAGTTATATTTGGTGTTTTTGTTTTGAGGAGAGCTTGGATTACCCTTATCTGACTGTGTGTTTAAGGCTTTAGTATCAGATTTCTACTCATGTAGTAAAAACACTGAAACCACAATATTGTCTGTAGATGCAGAAAAGTGTTTACAGAGTAAACTGGAATTTTTTATTTGCAGCTTTACACGCATTTGGTTTCATAAACTGGTTAAAAATAGTTCCCCAACAGCATGTGTCAGGACAAATGAGCAAACATCCTCCAGCTTCTGTCTCCAGGCAGGGATGCCCACTCTGCCCTTCACTGTTTGCAATTTTTAACCAACCACAGCATCAATCAGACAGGCTTTAGTGATTAAGGGCATTAAAATCAGTCTTTATGCAGATGATGTGTTACTTTTTCTCCAACAACAAAGACATACGCTCATAGATGAGCCTGGCTCATCAGAACAGGCACTATGCAATAATATAGAGACCATTCATTACCGTTCATTAGCTCAAACATCAAATGATGCTGTAAAGCATCATTTGCTCTCTGACAGCAGGGTGGGAGTTTCTATAAATGAAATGAGATTTAAAGACAGGGTGTCCTGTTTTCTGTTAGCAGTGAAAACATCAGTGACGCCCTCATGAAAGGGAAATGTTTTGAGGGGAATGTACTCGTGAGCCGTGAGCAAGTTTAATAGTGTAATTCTGCTGGATAGAACTGACATCTGTATGCAGATGACTCTGCTACGACAGAGAGAAAAGCTAAATGGGAGGAATGATGGTACTTTGATGAACCGAGGTGCAAAAGGTGGAAACTGCAGAAAGTGTGTGTGCACAATAAGTTAGCATTTTTTGTTTGTTGTTGTTGTTTTCCCACATTCTACATTCCATGAATCACATGAGCTGCTTTTCTTTTTCTCTGTTGGATTTTAATGTGAAATATTTTACTTTAGGTGTGAGATGACAGTAATATTACAGTACTGTGTACAAATGGTATATTGAAATGGGTAAATAAGGTCCAACCATCTGGTTCAAACAACCAAAACACCACAGTCATTATTAAACAGACCTTCTGCCCATAGATGCTATGTGACCATCAGAAACTGGGAACATGGCAACACTAAGAGCGTAGGCCTTGTACCTGTTTCTGTGTTTAGCATGGCAGTGATCTGACTTCACCTGGCAGGCAGATGTTTTGGCATTTCACCCTCACTCAACATGGTGCTTGATTAGCTTCACTGTTTAACTGGTAACTTATTTGTATGTGTGTTAACGGAGACATCCATCAGGGGAGTCAGCATGAAGACCCCCGCAGTGAGACAGCACCCTGACCCGAAGCTTTACCTGCTTCTTATATATAATAAACCAAACACTACGTTTCCAGGTGTCCGGTGGTGCTTGAATACGATTAATTTGTTAATGTTTTAATACCTCATGGTAGGAGTGGTTATCATAACAGCACACGTGCAGCACATCTGGAGAGTATTAAGACAAGTTTAATTGTTCCACGTTTTGTCATGTTACAGTCTTATTCCAAAATGGATTAAATTCATTTTTCACCTTAAAGTTCGACACACAATGGCCCATAATGTAAAAATGAGATCAGATCATGAATGAATCAGATGTTTCTACAACTTCATTGGAGTCCACCTGCGGTGGAAAATGCACACACTCAGTAGTTGAGTTTGCATGTCAGAGCACAAACTCAAAGCCAAAGTCCAAGAAATTGTGTCGAGGCACAGATTTGGGGGAATGTACAGAAAGATTTCTTCAGCATTGAAGTGAGCACTTTGAACTCCAAAATCACTTAATGGAAGAAGTATGAACCATGCTGCCAAGAGCTGGTCGCCCCGACACGCTGAGCGATCGGTGTAGAAGGGCCTTAGAGAGGAAAATGACCTGGTTCTTAGTAACAAAGTAACACTGTGAGGAACCTTGGAGTCATTTTTGACCAGGACATGTCCTTCAATGCACATATTAAACAAATATGTAAGACTGCGTTCTTCCATTTGTGCAACATCTCTAAAGTTAGAAATATCCTGTCTCAGAGTGACGCTGAAAAACTAGTTCATGCATTTATTACTTCCAGGCTGGACTACTGTAATTCATTATTATCAGGAAGTCCTAAAAACTGCCTGAAAAACCTTCAGTTAATCCAAAATGCTGCAGCATATTTCACCTGCACTGACTTCTCTTCATTAGCTCCCTGTTGAATCCAGAATCAAATTTCTCATCTCATACAAGGTCTTGAAAAATCAGGCTCATCATAAAGACGTTGTAGGCTGTTAATTTACTTGTTCCTAGAGTATTTAAAAGTAGAATGGGAGGCACAGCCTTCAGTTTTCAGGCCCCTCTTCTGTGGAACCAGCTTCCAGTTTGGATTTGGAAAACAAGATTCCCGGTCTACCTTTTGGATTAGGCTTCACATTTTATTTTGCCAGTTTAAAAATGATTCTATCCCCAGGTCAAATACATAAATAAGAAATACACTATACATATAAGTTAATATATAAATAAATATACTTGTTCTGTGTTTAATTGCTGGTTAAAAACTGAGTTGCATCAAGTACTGATGAACATTATTAATGTCATCCAAAAAAACGTTGATTCTGTTCATCTGGACGTAGCGTTTCAGGGAGAGAAATGTGTCGTCACTCATCCAGGGGACTTCTTCAGTCTCAGCTGACTGCAGGTTTCCAACCTTATAAACAGAAGCTCTCCCTTATCACCCGTAGTAATCCCATATGTGTCAGGAGTGTCAGAACAGTTGAGACGCATTTTTTCTAAACACTGCAGGCTCTGTGAAACTCTGTGGCTTTTAAACCCCAAAACACGCTGCGCCAAAAATTGGTCCACCCCAAGGATCCCCCAACACAAACAGAGTAACAGAGTGTACGCTGTTGGAGGATTGCCAGGATTTATACATCGGGGAAACCAAACAACCTCTGGTGAAGAGGATGGCACAACACAGAAGAGCTACCTCGTCAGGCCAGGACTCTGCAGTCTATTTACACCTACAGGCCAGAGGACACTCTTTCAAGGATGAGGATGAACACATCCTGGACAGGGAGGAATGCTGGTTTGAGGGCAGTCAAGGAGGCCATTTACGTGAAAAGGGAAAGACCATCTCTGAATGGAGGAGGGGGTCTAAGGGTACATCTGTCACCATCTTACAATGCTGTGATTGCAGTCATTCCCCAACTCTCTGTGAATGGTACTCATGGACATTGATCAGTGCAGGAAACCTGCAGTCAGCTGAGACTGAAGAGGTCATCTGGATGAGTGACGAAATGTTTCTCCACTGAAAATGTCCAGATGAACAGAATCAACCTTTTGGGATTTCTTTACCTGGATGATTGAGCATCGAGACATTTTCACTTAGGTGTAGAATAAAGTGCTTGTATGAAAGGGTCTGAATGGG